ACACCGCTGCATTCACACAACACATTAAGCTTGGTTAGGCTTTAACCTGGTCAGCTACACCGCTGCGTTCACACCACACATTAAGCTTGGTTAGGCTTTAACCTGGTCAGCCACACCGCTGCATTCACACAACACATTAAGCTTGCTTAGGGTTGAACTTGGTCAGCCACACCGTTGCGTTCACACAACACATTAAGCTTGGTTAGGTTTAAACCTGGTCAGCTACACTGCTGCATTCACACAACACATTAAGCTTGGTTAGGCTTAAACCTGGTCAGCCACAGGTACGACAACCTTCCCCCCCCCACCCTACTCCCTGAAATTCAGCAAATACCTGGGCGGTCCAGATGCCCTCGAGGGGAGAAGAGGTACCCGTAAATTTCTTCCACAAATCGGGGGACAGAATGTGTGAAGAAAGAGAAATCAATCCGGGTGCGGAAAAATTCTTCCGCCCGGCGCAGGAAATCCAGCAAGCTCTGGAGGTAGGAGCGAAGTTCTGAGGAGAAATGAGGGTTAGGGTTGTTAGACAGCCGGTCCTCGACTTACAACGGTTCATTTAGTGACCGTTTGAAGTCACAACAGCATTGAAAAAAACGCGACTTATGACCGTGTTTCACACTTCACGAGCGTTGCGGCCTCCCTCGTGGTCACGTGATCAAAATCCAGACACTCTGCCACTGACTGACTCATACTTATGACGGCGGCAGTGTCCCAGGGGGTCACGTGATCCCCCTTTTCTGACCAGCCAAGTCAATGGGGCGAGGGGGGGAAGCCAGATTCACTTAACGACCCTGTGACTAACTTAACGGCTGGAGTGATTCGCTGAACGAGAGTAGCAAGAAAGGTGGTGAAACGGGGCAAAACTTACTTCACAAATGTTGCCCTTGGCAACAGAAATTCTGGGCTCCTGGGTCGTAAGTCAAGGACCGCCTGTGTTGTGGGCTCCATTTTAGTCAGGATTTGAAGGGGAGGGAAGGGAATTCGAACTCTTCTCCTGGATGTACTGATCTGCTTTGCTTTTTTTTTTTAAATCTCCCTGCCCCTTTTTTTCTCCTTCCTTTCCCTCTTGCCCCTTTCTTTCTTTCTTTTTCTTTCTTTCTTTCTTTCTTTCTTTCTTTCTTTCCTTCCTTCCTTCCTTCCTTCCTTCCCTTTCTCTCCTACACTCCTTCCAACCTTTCTCTCCCTCTCCTTCCTTCTCTTCCTTTTTTCCTGCTCTTCCTTCTCTTCTTCCTCTTTCCTCCCTCCCCTTTCTCTTCCCCTTTGGATCCTCTTCCCCATCCTTCCTCCCCTCCCTGTTTTTCTTCTTCCTTTTCTTCCTCTTCCCTCTTTCCTTCTCCCCCTCCTCCTTCGGTCTTTCCCCTTCCCCTTTTCTCTCTCCTTTCTTTTCTCTCCTTCCTTACGCTTCCTCTCCCCTTTCCTATCTTCCCATTACGCTTTTCTTTCCTTCCTTCTTTCTTCTTCTTCCTCCCTCTGTCCTTTCTTTCCCTCCTTTCTCTCCCATTTCTCTCTTTTCTCATCCTCTTGCCCTGCTTTCCTTCCTTCCCTTGCATTTTTTCTTTTCCCTTTTCTTCCTCTTCCTTGTTCTTCTCTTCTTTCTCTCTTCCCTTCCTTCTGCTACTCTTCCTCTTCCCTTCCCTCTCTCCCTCCTCCCTCCCTCCCTAACTCCCTCCGTTCCTTCCTTCCTCCTCCCTTCCTCTTCCCTTCCTTCCTCCTTCCTCCCTCCTTTCCTTCCTTCTTCCCTCCCT